CCTATTGAGGTGATCCAAGTTCTCATTGTCTTGCATCCTTCCTTTGGAGCTCAAGAGCTCTGCGGTCCTCTTGAGGTTCTTAGCAATGCCTACCACAAGCTCAAAGACCCTGGTAAGTCGTCATGCCTATTTCTACTGTCGCTCCAGCGTCTGAGTTGATTTTCGATCCTCGAGCTGGAGTCAATACACTCTCATTGACACACCATACGCTTAGGATCCAAGGCCTTCGAATGCACCATTGCAGCCGGCTCTCCGGGGGTTACATCATCTTCAGGTCTTACCGTCAAAGCCGACATGAACTTCGAAGACGCTCACGAGGATCTGAAAGAATACGACGTCCTGATCGTTCCAGGCGGTGTAGGCGTAGATGACGTGCTCAAGAAAGAGGCTGAGCCGATCAAGCTCATCCAGGATTTCGCCAAGCTCCAACAGACCGACCCTAGCAAGGAGCGTACCCTTATGTCCATCGGTACTGGCTCTCTCATCCTCGCCCACGCAGGCCTCCTGCAAGGCCTCGCTGCCACCACTCACCCAGACTACTACACCAAGATGGAGATCATCTGCAAAGAAGCTGCCAGACGTGGAGATCTTGAGCAAACGGACGTCATGGAAGAGAACTACGTCGTTAATAATGCACGGTTTGATCTTGGCGAGAAGCTCGAGGAGAACCCGTTTGTGCTAAACAAGAGGCCTGACGGTAGGAGGAAATCAATTGCGCGCAAGGGTAGCAATGCTTGGAAGGAATCAGTCAAGCGTCGGGAATCCAATGCTCGAAGGGCGTCGCTAAGGCTAGGGGGCCTGCGAGTTATCACGAGTGGGGGGGTAAGTGCACTTGTCCTGGCAATTCCTCCGTAATCGAACGCTTGGTCTTTGATTCGCAAGATCTGTCTGGCGAGCAGGTGGCTTGCTTCACTCCTCCGGCGTGCTTTAAGAGTCACATCCTTGCTTGTCTCAAGGGATCAATGCTGACTTGGAAATGTGCAGGTGACCAGTGGCTTGGATGCGAGCTTGTATCTTGTGGCGGCTATGGTTTCACACGAGTCGGCTCAAGAGGTGGCAAGGGTGTTACAGTATAGCTGGAACAAGGGTATCACCGTCGACGGTATTGACGTTTAGAGCCCCGTAGACGGGTTCTCGGGGATTGTCCTCTTCGAGGTGGAGAAAGCCCCTCTATCCTGGCTGAAGTTAGGCTGCTAGCGTGCACGTCAGAGTATTAGCGCCAAGGTTCACATATGTCAGAATCTGCTCACACCTTTTTAATTTGCTCGCCATCTTGCGCCTTCGCTAACCACAGAAGCCACAGCTTTCTACCACATAATAATCCATTGGCCCCCGTGCCAAAATTATCTTCAAGCCTTACCGCGCAGTTCCGAGCGCCTGCACCAGAATCCTTTTCGACTACTTAGATCTTTAGTATTAACAATGTTGCCGAGGTGTGTATGTGCTTCTAGTTCCTCTCCAGTACCTTTGACTTGGTCGCTGCTAGCTCTCAATTCTACCAAATGTTTAGGAGATTTCATAGTCTCCTCAGCTACTCATCATGGCTCATCGAAGCTACTGGTGTCCTCGGTCCAATGGTCATCTTCATACTCGATGCTCCTGTCTCACCAGCAGATGACCAGTAACTCGATATTCTCACCAAGTAAATTCGAAGCGTTGTCCTTCCTTAGACACTCTTTCTCACAAAGACTTTGCAACTGGGAATCGTGTTACTGCAACTCGTTCTTTCTTTTCCGCCATTAGTACAAGCAATCTCGAGTAGAAACCTTGACAGCCGTCAGCAAAAGTAAGCTTTCGTCACAAAAGCCATCAGATAAACAAGCTTCCACGAGATCCTCAAGACGACAGCCGCACCGATGTTGCTCTTAATCATGAACTCTATGCGCAACTCGCCGTCTTGCATGTTAGTCACGTACGAGGCCTTATTTCTCATCTAGCGAGGTCTGATTCTAGAACTTACCAACCTGGGCTTCGCCTCCAAATAAGGAATCTCGCACCTATGTACGACTGCCGAAAATCGGAATACGGCTATGCACTGGGCTTGACGGCTCTTTCCCATTCGCAATTATCTTTCGCTATGGCGTTCGGCACTACCTGTCTTCTCATGGAACGGCCGATTCCCATCTGGACTCTCCGGCTTCGATGGACCATGTCATAGGGTCGGACTCATAGTGAAAGGCTATATAGCTCTTCAGCCCTTGACTTTTAGTCCTATTTGATGCTGTCTCCGAATTCTCAAATTCGCTATACAGTCTCAGCATCTAAGCCTGCGCTGTCTTAGATCGCTCGTTACAAGATGAAGACTGCCTCCATCCTGCTTGCCTTGGCTGCCACTCTCGCTTCGGCACTCGCTCAATCCACAGGCTCATCTTCAACAGCGTCTCCAACTTCATCGCCCTCATTTTCATCGAGTCAGACCACTCAATCCACATCATCAGTGACTAGTTCCTCTTCAAGTACAAATCCAACTGCTTCCAGTTCTAGCATTTCATCGACATCGACCGTAGCTAGCTCTTCTGCTACGTCGGCTGCACCAATCACAGTGCAAACGGCCGGGTTATTCACCTACATTGGTTGTTACAGCGACACTGTCAGTTCGAGGGGATTGACCGGTCTCTCTGAACCAGTCGTCGCAAGTCAAAACAGCGTGGAAGCCTGTGCATCGGCCTGTTCCTCCTATGCATATTTCGGAGTCGAATGGTCTTCGGTAGGTCCATTCACAGTCTATGCTTCCTCTTCCTGCCTCAATTTGAAGCCTTGAGACGCGACTCGGGCTCTTTGCTCTAAAGACGCGCTAACCACGAAACATCAATAGGAATGTTACTGCGGGAATACCATCAATTCACCATCGGCACTCGTCGCTGGAAGTACTCCAGCCACCACGGGCTGCAACTACATCTGTGAGGCGAATTCAGCCGAGTATTGTGGTGGATCCAACCGACTTGGCATGTATAACAACACAAACTTCGGATCCTCGAGCTCCAGCTCTAGTTCTTCGACGGCTTCAAGTTCTGCCGCATCGATCTCTGGCACAGCGCTTATAACTTCCTCGTCGCCGTCTTCCAGCAGCACCTCGGGATCTTTCTCAAGCTCATTATCTTCTCAAAGCAGTAGCTATAGTTCTGCCACATCAATTCCTAGTACAGGGCTCACGAGTGCCTCGTCAGCGTCTTCTAGTAGCAACCCAGGATCTTCCTTAAGCTTATCATCTTCTCTAAGCAGCAGCTATAGTTCTACCGCATCGATCTCTGGCACAGCGCTTATAACTTCCTCGTCGCCGTCTTCCAGCAGCAACCCAGGATCTTTCTCAAGCTCATTATCTTCTCTAAGCAGTAGCTATAGTTCTACCGCATCAATTTCTAGCACGGGGCTTACGACTTCCTTGTCATCATTTTCCAGCAGCGTCCCAGGATCTTCCTCAAGCAGTAGCCTTTCTTCATCAACAACGTCTAGCACCTCGCACACAATTTACTCATTCTCCTCTACATCTCAGGGTAGCGTTTCCGGCTCCTCGTCACCGAGTTCCAGCAGTATCCCAGGATCTTCCTCAAGCAGCAGCCTTTCTTCATCAACAACGTCTAGCACCTCGCACACAATTTACTCATTCTCCTCTACATCTCAGGGTAGCGTTTCCGGCTCCTCGTCACCGAGTTCCAGCAGCGTCCCAGGATCTTCCTCAAGCAGTAGCCTTTCTTCATCAACAACGTCTAGCACCTCGCCAAACACAATTTACTTATCCTCCTCTACATCTCAGGGTAGCGTTTCCGGCTCCTCGTCACCGAGTTCCAGCAGCGTCCCAGGATCTTCCTCAAGCAGTAGCCTTTCTTCATCAACAACGTCTAGCACCTCGCCAAACACAATTTACTCATCCTCCTCTACATCTCAGGGTAGCGTTTCCGGCTCCTCGTCACCGAGTTCTAGTGTGCTAAAAACCAGTTCGTCGTCTACTTCGTCCAGCGGCGGCCTTACTTCTTCCCTACCAAGCTCCAGCGCGCCAGCAATCAGCTCCTCATCTACTTCTAGCAGCGCGAGCGTTAAATCCCTACCAAGTTCCAGCGCGTCAGCAATCAGCTCCTCGTCTACTTCCAACAGCGCCAGCGTTAATTCCTTATCATCAAGTTCCAGCAAGCCAGTAATCAGCTCCTCATCTACTTCTAGCAGCGCGAGCGTTAAATCCCTATCAAGTTCCAGCAAGCCAGCAATCAGCTCCTCGTCTACTTCTAGCAGCGCGAGCGTTAAATCCCTACCAAGTTCCAGCGCGCCAGCAATCAGCTCTTCGTCTACTTCTAGCAGCGCGAGCGTTAATACTCTATCAAGTTCCAGCCCGCCAGCAATAAGCTCCTCATCTACTTCTAGCAGCGCGAGCGTTAAATCCCTACCAAGTTCCAGCGCGTCAGCAATCAGCTCCTCGTCTACTTCCAACAGCGCCAGCGTTAGTCCTTTACCACTAAGTTCCAGCGCGTCAACAATCAGCTCCTCGTCTTTTTCAACAGCGCCAGCGTTAGTTCCTTACCACTAAGTTCCAGCGCGTCAGCAATCAGCTCCTCGTCTACTTCCAACAGCGCCAGCGTTAATTCCTTATCATCAAGTTCCAGCGCGCCAGCAATCAGCTCCTCGTCTACTTCCAGCAGCGCCAGCGATAATTCCTTATCACCAAGTTCCAGCGCGTCAGCAATTAGCTCCTCATCTACTTCCAGCAGCGCCAGGGTTAGTTCCTTACCACCAAGTTCCAGCAGTAGTGGATCGGCAACGTCGCCGTCAAGTTCTATCCCCAGCTCCGGCTCCACCTCGAGTATACCTACCAGTTTTGCCGTCTCCTCGTCAAGTTCTAGTTCTACGGGGGTCCCTAGCTCCAGTACTACTGCGTCAAGTTCCAGCTCCAGCTCTAGTTCTTCAGCTCTTTCAGTCCAAGTGGACCAGAATTTCGTCACTCAATCCACCGCTCCGTCATCAATCACTACCTCAAGAACGTTAGCCAAAGAAGAATCAACCATCGAGTCGAGTACGACCGTGGTGTCCAGGCCGGTCGGTGTCGAAGTTGCCTCCAAAAACTCAATCACTACAACGACCACTCCCTCCTCCACAAAGGCCACTACCACAAGCACCAAGCCCAAAACAACATCCAAGCCCACCACCACGAGTGCTAAACCCAGCACCACAAGCACCAAGCCCAAAACAACATCGAAGCCCACCACCACGAGTCCTAAACCCAGCACCACAAGCACCAAACCAAAAACAACACCGAAGCCTACCACCGCGAGTGCCAAACCCAGCACCAAAACTAGCAAATCCAAAACGGCCACAAGCTCCATAAGCGATGCCTGCGCTAAGCTCGCAGCCCAACGCGCATACTACACCGCCAAGATTGCACAGCTGACAGCGCAAAAGATCGGAGTCCCGCCCTACCTAGCCGGATACGCTGCGGCGGCCTATGACGCCGAAGTAGCGATGGGATGCCTTGTTGCCGCCACGACGACAGCTACGACGAGCAAGAAAGCCACGACCACGTCCACAACGAGCAAGAGTGCCAATGCCAACGTCAAAGTCGCCTCCAAGAAGCCCAGCACAACCACCACCGCGCACACATAGACCAAGAAAACTTCTTCCACGACCAAAGCAAAGACTACAAGTACCAAGAAGACATCGACCAGGCACACCACTACGGAAAAAATATACGCGAGCTTCAATCCAGGCTACGCGGAGAACACTGGGTAGATGATTAATCTGGACGGCGAGAGTAGTGTTCTTTCTTCCTTGCAGTTTGGAATCATGTATAACGGCAACAAGGGATTACTATAGCTATCCATAATCTCTAATACAAGTTATCAAATTACCTCCACCATGCCTACATGGACCTTAGACCTCGAATACCCGAAGCGTAGGAATTGCAAGAGTGCCGGTACATGCTTCCTATCAAGCCTGGAACATGCGCGCTACCCTTCATTTCTCACAGGGCGTTACGTTTTCGGTAGACTTACGAAAAAGACGATCGTTTGCAAAAGACCACGCCTAGGCGTGGCTCTGAAAAGCATGCAGGAACGAAGACCTAATTCTAAAATGATACAAGTCAGTCCTGACCGTGAAGCGGATACCTCCAATCAGTACCATCATCGAGTTTACTCCGGCAGCGGGTAACGAATTGACTCGCTTCTTCTACGAAACGGGCAAGTCGGATCTTCGGTCGTCAGAGCTGGGATCGTACAGACCTTGTCATCAGGTCCGGAGAGCGGACTAGGGCCCTTCTGTCCAAGGAGCTTTGGGACAGAAAAGGTTCCCAATGCGAGGGACGCGTCTGGTCTTTGCTTATGAAGCCTTCGGGGAGGGAGACGTTGGCGCAGCCGTGCCGTTATAGCGCCGATGCGGGCGATGAGGACGGTGTCGGAGTGGGCTGCGTCCTTTGGCGGGCGCGGGCGCGGACGCGGGAGAGGAAGACGTCTTGCGAGACGACTTCCTTGCCTGAACGATGGGCGCGGCGTTTGCTAGGACAGGCTGAGGAGGGAAAGATTCAGCGTTGATGTGAGGGAGGGGGGGGGGAAGGGTGGGAGAAGTGGCATGGTTTCGTGCTTGGTCTTGTTTTTGGAAGCCTGCGAGGTGGGCGAATGCATTGGTCGACGGCTGAAGCGATGGCGACAAGATCTATGATTGTCGGAACATGTCAATACTGGAGTACGGTTTCGTGAGGTATTCGGTGGCGCAAGCGAAGTTGGGGTTTCAGTGATGGTGCACGGAGGAACGCTACACGGTTCAAGGTTTCTTTCTGATTTCTGTATGTACATGTGTCTCCGACTTGGCCCTCCCAACGGCGCCTTGCAAAACGGCAACAACGCCTCTGGTAAACACTACCAGCCATCTTCCTTTCAAAGACTACTGCCCTCCAAATCCTCTTTCCCCAAATTAGCGTCCGTCGTCCGCCCGCCCAACCGCTCCTTCTCCAGCGTAACCGAAGTATGCTTTGTGAAGTATGGCGAGGGGTCTCGCACGAAGATAGCTAGTATGCAAGCAATGACACCGAACGGTATGGAAACAAGCCATGTGATTCTGAAAGCGTCGCTGTAACCCCATTGGATTGCACGCGAAGCTGCTGCGATGACATTTACGGGCGTATTGGTTAGGGTATCTGTGGTACCGGCTCCGATTGCGGTAACGAGAGCCTCGTATTTAGAAGCCGGGTAGTTGAGGGGTGCCAGCGCTGCGCCGACGCGTTGTGGGATGGAGACGGCGGACTTATTGTTCAGGATCGTAGTGAAGATAGTCGTTCCGATAGCTCCACCCAGAAATCGAAATGTCCCAATGAGACCAAGAGCAAGTCCGAGGTCTCTTTGTGGTACGTGCAGACTCGCAGTCACGTAGCAAGCGAGGGTGATCCATGCGAAAGGTAGATTGGCCAAGCATTGGAATACGAGAGCCATAGGAACCGTATCCGGCGTAATGAGAGCGAAGAGGGCTGTAAAAAGCGTCTGGCACGCAATTCCAATGAAGAGTTGCCATTGCACATGTTTTAGCCGAGCGATCAAGGCACCAAGGATCACACCACCCCCAGCGCCACCAAAGCCTCCGGGGATGTTGTAGAGTCCTGCAGTCAAGGACTTGCTGGTAAACATATAGCCGATCTGCTCAGGGATCAAGTCTGTCAAGGAGAAATAGACGAAGCCAGTCACAAAGATTAGGACTAGCAGAATAGTGTATTCGCGTACATTTCCGAGAAGCCGCTTAGGGAACAGGGGCCGTTTTGCGTGACCGCTGAAGTCGTATACGAAGGCGGAAATGAATAACAAGGCACCGAGGACCAAAGGTACTAAGACTGCAGCGGATCTCCAGGGATAGCTGACTCCACCCCAACCAAGACCGAGCAGAAACAGCGTCAAGCCTGCGGTATATAGAAATATGCCGATGTAATCAAGTTCTCTCAAGACCTCCATTCTCGTTCTGTCTGCAAGTGGCTTTGCTGGCGGGTTATAGAACACTGCTGTTCCAACGAAGGAGATGACTCCCGAGATGATTCCTAAGTAGAAGACCCATCGCCAGGTGACATTAGTCAAGAGCAACCTGGCGAAAAGCGGACCAAAAGTGCTGAATGGTAGGAGGTTAAGCTCAGTCCATGCAAGACCAATTGATCGATACTTGTTAGGCAGTAGCTCGGAGATGCCGGGGTACCTGTGGAGTTTGACGAGTCAGCACTTCTTTCATTCATGAGCAGCCCACCACCACCGCAAAATCAATGGGAGCTCCTTTTCCCAAGTTTATTTTGCAGCTTCGTGTGCAGTAGCCGTATGCAGTTGTCAAGAGGATAAGACCGTGCTTACATCACGAAAGTGGTTCCAGTCCCGAATCCTAGGATTACCATTGCCGCAATACCCTGGTTGACGCTGTTCGCTGTGCATCCAATGATGTGACCCAGGACTAGAAGGGCTTGGCCAAACAACAAAATGTATCGGCGTCCGAAATAATCACTTGTTTGTCCCGCTATGGCAAAAGCGATACTTCCTGCGAGAGACCATCCCGAAGCCATCCAATTGACATTGTGGGTATTCCCCTGGAGTTCGATGGCAATAGGTACCAGGATCGGAAAGACCATCAAAATCGTAAAAGAAAGTGATGGTTGAAAGGTGAATCCTAAAAAGAAGACGGCCGCCCACGTGGACTTGGTCACTTTTTGATCTGGGTCAATGTCCTCCAAAGCTGCTCGATGGGGGTCATTGTGGTCATCACGGATATGTGAGTCGAGTCTCTCTTCGCCAATATTGCCAGCTTGTGAGAAGACGATCTCATCATGCGTAACCTGCTCTGATTTCTCGCCAGCCATGGTTGGGCTGTTTGAAAAAGATTGAGAGTAAAGAGAAGGGTTTGATACAGTTTCTCGGAGGATAGATTGGGAAAGGGACAAATCAGCCACCAGGGATACAAGCGAAGGATGTCATGCAGCAGATTCTTGGCTTGATATAAACCCATCCTCGCCGCGCAGGAAAAGTAAAAGGCTAGACAAGCGTCTAAAGTTTCTAAGAGGAATTTTCCGGCAAACCATGTCCCAGCTCGCTGAGGTCTGGGAACGGGGCTTCGCCGCATAACGACCATACCATTCCTTGCACCAATACTGGCTGGTTTGATGGTGGAAGCTAGACGATCAGGACGCGTGATACTCCAGGCCTAGGGCCTAACCTGAAATTATGTGGTTCGCAAGAGAGACGAAAGACGTTCCGAGTGAAAGTAGAGCTTTGCAGCTTCGATAGTCTCCAGCTTACTCGTAGAAGCCATTGGTAGATTTGCGGGGTAGAAACATGGATGGAGCAAATTGAGCGGCATCTCGCCGATTGAGTGAGAGGCTCTACCCACGTATCGAGCTATCTACTTTGGGAATAGCGCCGAACTTCCCCGCAATCGTAAATCGTCTGAACGCCAAATTGACCGACAACAACAACACTACTCTCAAACACGCTATCGGTATCAAGGAATGCCGCCCATTATTAACAAACGAGCCTGCAACCTAGTGCTGAGCCATTGCTAGTGTACGCTGGTCTGTACGGTGTCCAGAATGCCGCCGAAAGATCAGGGGACTTATAGTAGCGGGCGATGGGACAAGATGCGAACCTGGAGATCCAAAGGGCCCAAGGGCAAAAAGATGTTGTCTCCGTAAGGCCATGGCATGTCACCGTTCCAGGCGTGAGATCAACATGTCCCAATTGGAGTATTGAGAGGCGCTTTGACCCGCATTTTTTTGGGATCACGGTCGAAGGACTCTAGACTGCCCTTCGAGTTTGGGTGTCTCAATGCTGAACCTTCAGCAGCGAGCAACCCTCTTCACCCTGAATTCCTGAACTGTCCCAGCATGGCTTTGCTTAACGACGTAGGATCAATGCATTTCTTTGCTATTGGACTGCTACTTTACACCATCTACTGGGCATTGCACCCGCGCTTTCTGTCCCCACTGAAAGAAATTCCAGGCCCATGGTATGCCGTCTACACCAAAAGGTGGCTCGTTTGGAAGACCGTAAAAGGTGTTCGCGCCAAAACGATTCATGAGCTACACCTCAAATACGGTCCCTGGGTCCGAATCGCGCCGAACGAAGTCTCAACCTGCGATCCACAGGCAATCGTCCCCATTTATGGCGTCAGTTCAGCCTACATCAAGACCGAATTCTACACCTATCAACTACGCGGGGTTCCAGAGCTCTTCACCATGTCCGATCGGAAGCAGCATGCAAGAAGACGACGCGAGCTTTCGCATCTATTCTCCATGTCAACCATCACCGAGTACGAGCCAGTAATTGCGAAGCAAGTCAAAAATTGCATGGACTTCGTAGCCGACGAAGGTAAAACGGGGAGAGTCAGCAACTTGTATGATTGGTGGCATTATCTATCCATGGACATCATATGCGACCTCTCGTTTGGTTCGACATTCAACATGCTTCAAGATGGCGCCAGCAACGCATACATCAAGGATCTGTATGGGTCATTGCAGATTGAGCCCGTTCGGTGGCATTTCGGTTGGCTGAACAAGTATGCTGCTTGGGCCCCATTGAAATTTGTTCGGGAGGCAGAGGCTTGCAGTGTGCGCGCAATGGACCGAGGCGCGAAGTTGGTCCGAGACTATGTGGAGAACCCGGAGAAGAAGCGCCGCAAAGATCTGCTGCAGAAGATGCTAGATGCACGCGATGAAGAGGGAAGGCCTCTATCGGTCGATGCCTTGAACACCGAAGCTGCGGGCTTCATCCTCGCTGGCTCTCACACTACCTCTTCATCATTGACCTGGATCGTTTGGCGTATCATGAAGAGCCCAGCAATCCTGGCCCGGCTCCGCAAAGAGTTGGACGAGGTATTGACTGGCCTCCCGCGTGATGAGGTTCCTATGCACTCGAAACTGGAAGGCCTAACCTACTTCAACTGCGTCATCAAGGAAGGCCTACGCATCGACACAGCAGTACCGGGCTCGACACCCAGATACGTCCCACCCGAAGGCACCAACATCAACGGCCACAAGCTCTCAGGAGGTTCCATTGTCTCCGCCCAAGCCTACAGCTGCCATCGCGACCCTGCCGTTTTCCCGAACCCTGACGAATTTCTTCCGGAACGATGGCAGGATGAAACGCCCGAGATGCGTAAGCTCTACATCCCCTTTGGAGCAGACGGACCTCGGAAGTGCATTGGCATATGGCTTGCTTACATGGAATTGAGAGTGATACTTGCGGCGCTCTTCCACCGCTTTGACCTGGAGTTTGCGCATGAGGTTGATGATGCGAGCATGGAGTTGGACGAGTTTTGGCTTGCTAATCCTATCGGTCAACATTTGGATGTCGTTGCTACGGAGAGGAGCTGATCGGTCGAGCAGGGCGTGCTATTGATGCTTGTGATTTTCTTGAATCCCGTATCGAATCATATCATATGTCGGAAAATCCATCCTGTCTATTCTCTCAATGCCACATTTGGTACTCTTTCTTGTGGGGAACAAGTGAAAGCTCTCCAACAATGGATTGTGTATATAAATAGTCCTATCCGAGTTCGATATGACATCAAACCAACCAATCATGCAGAAGATTCCATTGCAAAAATCATGCACTTCTAATATAGTATGTCGATGCTCGTCGCGCAGACAAAGATCAATGAGCTCAAACATCTCAAACATACCTTTGCGCCGCACACCTGGCCAGTTGCCCTGACCCTTCGGTATTTGCGTGCTGTTGCCAACGTGTCAACTGCGCAAACAGCAGATCGAGGAACGCAAATTGAAAATCTGCCTGAGCAGTAGTCAATTCCCCAAAAGAGAAAAAGAGAAAGAGAAAAAGGTGCCAGGCCCCCAGAAAATGCACGGAAAAAAGTAGAAAGCTAGTGATCTCTCACTTCTGAATCCCGTCGCGTTGATTGGTTTTGGTTCCACTGATGATACACTCGAACAAATGCTCCCTCTAACTTACTCCACCCACGCCCCCTTTTCAACCCCTCAAGACTCGCGATCCAAGCCACGAACAGCAGAACCAGCCCACTATACGCGACTCACATGCCCTTGACAACCTCAGCGCTGACCCCACTCCTCTCCCCATTCTGACCCTGCCGCGGGCCCCCATCGTCGGCCGCTCCGTCCTTGAAGAAGCCCACACTGTCATTCCCCACCGCCGTCCCATCCGTCCCATGCGCCCCCTCACAGTTCGTCGTCGCGGCCGGGCTCTCCGCCATCCTCGGCTTCCCCTTCGACCGGACCGGAATGACCGACTCACCCTCCGGGACGACCCTCATGGGCAGATGATCTGACCCCCTGGGAATGAAGGCGCCTTTGTTGCTATCCTTGTGCAAATGGCCATTGATGACGATGGCGTGGATGTTCTTGGTGTCCTGGAAGAGGGAAATGTCCTCCAACGGGTTGCCGTCGACGAGGATGACGTCGGCGTAGTAGCCCGGGAGGACCTTGCCCAGGACGTCGGGGTGGCCCATGATCTCGCCGCCGAGGGCCGTGGCGGCGAGGATGCTCTCCATGGGCGTGTGGCCGAACATGTTGACGAAGTGGGCCAGGTCGCGCGCGTAGGTGCCGTGCGGGGCCCAGGCGAAGCCGTAGTCGCCGCCGGGCAGGACGCGGATGCCGCGCCGGTGCATCTCCCGCATGGCCTTGGCCGCCGTCTCGACCTCGCGCTTCAGGCCCTTTTTGACGGCCATGTCGGGCGTCAGGCCGTACGGGATGGCTTCGCCCGTGCAGCTGGTGTAGGGGAAGTTGATCGCGGGGGAGATGTAGACCCTGTCCTTGATGGCCTCGAGCATGTCTATGGCTTCCGCGTCGGCGAAACTGGCATGGTAGATGACGTCCACGCCCGCCCTGGCGCACAGCTTGACGGAATCGTTACTCCTCGCGTGGGCGCAAACGCGTTTCCCGCGCATGTGAGCTTCGTCGACTGCCGCTTTGGTCTCTTCCAGCGTGAAATAGGTCTCTTCGCTTCGCATCGTCTCGTGGATCTCATCGCCCGTCATGCTGAGTTTGATGTTATCGACGCCCAAAGAGCAGAAATAGCGCACAGCCTTGCGCATTTCGTCCACGCCGTCTGCATAGCGTGTTACGGATGGGACAATGGCACCGCCGGTCGTTGAGATCTCTTGGCCGTTTGCCAGCATGCGGGGGCCAGGGATCATGCCGGATTTGATGGCGGCTTTGGTGACGACGTCGAGACGAGGCTGTGCGGCTGCTGCGCCGAAACACATGGTGTAGCCGCAATCGAGGTACATCTTTGCGGAGTTGGCGGTGTGGAGGACATGTTCTTCGATCGGGAGGTTGGTCAGGCCGTCGAGTGTCGGCGAATTGTTCCATGATAAGTGGGTGTGTGAGTCGCAAAGGCCAGACATTAAGGTTTTCCGGCCTTGGCCATCGATGACTGTGGTCTCCTCATCTAGGTTGGCGGTGACTTTGCCGACTTCTTTGATGGCTGTGCCTTCGATCAGGACATCACCAAGGTAGGGTTCTCGGCCGGTCGAATCTAAGATTTGCACATTTTTGAAAAGAATCTTATCGGGGTCGTTTGGGTGGTGGTTGTTTATCGAGACATCGGCAGGTAATGGCTTCCCAAGTGGATCGCCTGGAGTTGGTAAACCGTCGGGGATAGGCATCTTGGACAGAAGGCAGTGAGCGGTTGGCGAAGGTGAAGTTGAAGTCGGATTCGGAGTCGACCGTATGCAGTAGGTGCCTCGTCAGGTCAGTGTCGCTAAGGCAATGCCTGTAGGTTGCATTATATTCTTCGATATCGCCACTCACATGGGAAGAGGCTTCCGAAATCAAGGCGGTAAGACTCCGACTCTGCATGTATCTTTTCTCTTTTGCGGGGTGGAGACGATCCAAGCTGCGGGGCTCCAGATTTTGGTTGAAAACCCTAGACATCACACGTGACCAAGTGTTAACATTTGGCGGAGAGATGCCGTTACAAACGGGCCGTACCGATGGCTTGCGAAGTCCAGATCCGCGAATGTATCTTTTCGGTTTCTTTTTCTCGCCATCTTACAAGTCGCTCTCGTTTGTTGGGTATTCAACAGCGTTGCTGTAGAAATAATTCATAAGAAAGCAACCTCATTAAAAGCCAGAGCCTTGACAAGCCGAATTCGCTTCACAGACCTTTCACTCCTTCCTGTAGCCAACCCTCGAACCATGGCGCCAGATTCAAGATCAAAAACCTTCGGTTTCGTGGGCCTCGGAAACATGGGATCTCAGATGGCATTCAACCTCGCAACATACGCACAACAAAACGCCCTCCCACGGGTTAGGATTTGGAATCGAACGAGAAGCAAGATCGAGTACCTGGCCCAAGAAGCACATTGCGAGATCGTTTCCTCATTGGAAGAAGTCGCCGATCAATGCGATATCGTACATACCTGCCTCGCCAATGACGAAGTCGCCTTTTCAGTCTACCGGCAGTTCTTCCAAGCAGCGAACGTGAGAGGGACTGTCTTTGTCGATCATTCGACCCTTTTCCCTACGACCTCGACAGCGTTGCAATCGGAAGCTTCGAGCAAAGGGGCGCATTTCCTCTCGTGTCCTGTCTTCGGCCCGCCCGCGGCTGCAAAGTCGGCTGGATTGCTCGTGGTTGTGTCCGGAGATTCTTCAGCGAGAGAGACAGTGAAGTCGTACCTGGTCCCAACGATAGGGAAAGCCGTCCTGGACTGTGGAGATGACTCATCGAAAGGAGCGCTGATGAAGATCCTGGGGAACAATTGTATCCTTGGGACCATAGAGCTGCTCAGTGAAAGCTTTACCTTGGCTGAGAAGACGGGCTTTGACGCTGGCATTTTCTATGACTTCATCCGTACGTTTTCCTTGATCGGTTGCATTTCCTCCTGCTGACAGAAAACAGAGCAATGGTTTCCCGCAGCCGCATGGGTCAACTATGGCAAGAAGATCCGCGACGGTACCTTCTCCGGCAAGACCGGCTTCAAACTCGACGGCGGAATGAAAGACGCAGCATTTATCCGACGGCTCGGAGCCGAGACTTCCACGCCCACGCCCATCATTGATCAAGCGTGGAATCATCTGACCACTGCAAAAGCCATTGGAGGCGACGGTCTGGATTGGAGTGCTTGTTCAGCTGGTATGCGAGTGACGGCCGGACTTCCTCCTTTCAAGGGCGAAGACTTCTCCATCTCGCAGCCGGCGCAGACGAATGGTCATGCTGACGGAGAGATACCACATCCTGGCGCTGGTGTGAGGGTTGCTGGGAAGAAAGAGGTTGCACATCAAGCTAACGGCATAGCATCGGAGGAACTTGTCAATGGAGACAGACCTGCGGATGCAGTGCCTTGAAATGGACAATTTGGGATGCATGGAGTTCAGGCGCAAGTCTGGCTACTGAGATAGAATTAGCACTATAAATACCTTACTCGTCTGGATCATTTCCGTCCTTACCGTCCCAAGCGCTTAATCATATGTTCCATACGTCAGCCTACCGCTATCAGGAGGAAACCCTTTGAGATCTTAATACTCTTAGGTGCTGAAGACAACATCTTGAGGAAATCTCAAAAGCCACAACAGGCGAGGACGAAAGAGACTGGCACACGAGGCTTTAGACGAGATTCTTTGGTCTCGTAAGACAATAGTAGAATAGAAGACGGAAGTGTTGTCATTTCTCTATGCCAAAGCCGTCAGTTTATGACGAGACAGCTTTTCTCAATACCTCCGCGCTCTCCTTGGCATTCTCCAGCGTATGCCAATGCGCAACCCCCTCAAACGTAACCAAGTCCACCTTTGTGTGCCCCAACTCTTCCGCGATAGCTTTGCACAGTGCAGGAGTAGAGACCTTGTCCTCACTCCCACTCACAATCGTCGTCTTCGCCTTAATCGCACCCCACTCGGGATCTCGACTCTCGGCCAAGCTCAGACACGCCAGTGCATACCCCTCCGCATTCTGCCTGCTCAGCAACTCCCTCCCAAACGACACAATCTCCGGGCGCTCTTTCAATGTTTGCGCAGCGAAAGCGTTCCCAACGACTGTATCCGCTACGGCTGCCATGCCGCCTTTGCGGACGCTCTCCGCACGGCCTTTTGCTCCATCTCTTCCCGGCTGCGGTGGGGCTTTTATGGGGCCATAGAGGACGAGTTTGGAGACGAGAGAGGGCTGTTTGGCGGCTAAAGTGAGGGCGACGAGGCAACCGAGGGAGTGCCCGATCACGGTGATGTCTTTGAGCGAAAAGTGGTTGATTATGGCTGTTGTTCGTCAGCGTTACACATGCCAGGTCGGGTTCCCGGTTGGTATACCTTCGGCATCCTCAACGTAAGAGTCAATGCTAGTCTTCTGCGGTAGCGTACTCCTGCCATGACCAGCCCAGTCGAAGCGGACAAGATTGAAGTCTTGCAGAGATGAGACCAGGGGCTGGTATGTGTTGGTGGTGCCCCCTAGACCATGGATGAACAAGACTGAATGGCCAGACTTGTTACCCTCCTGCTCATAGTAGATGTGGCCATGGTGGGCTTTGAGACTACCGTATGAATTGATCGAGGATGCCATTGCTGCTGTTGCTGATGCCTGCCGAATTGTTCGTTGACAGTGACAGTAACAGTGACAGTGAGAGCTCGAAGATAGTGCCGGTATATTTCGGGCTCCCACTCGCTCCACAATAAAGCCATGGCTGTATGTGCGGCATCTTGCCGACCGTGGTTGGAGGCAACTGTTGATATGACGGAGTGAGTAGAACTGAGGGAAAGGACTGCCAGTCGCACTAGCCCCTTTTTGATCTAGCCTAGAGCCGCCAACAAGCCCCGCTGCACATCACTGCGGGGCTGTGGGGTCGGTTGGTGGGGTCTTTTTGTTGGCACCAGGATTCAGGGGTTTCATATTTTCTAATCAAAGTTCTCAAACAACTTCGCAACATACTCGCTATAATCTATCACCACCTTTTTCCCAATACCGATCGCCCCATCCCCACATATGCTCACCACCGGACACCTCGAAGAACTAGGTCCCTCACCCGCAACCGCAACGGACCCATGAGCCGGCAGGTATCCGCGAGCTTTCTCAGCAAGCAACGCATCTCCTCGTACCACCAGCGCAGCACCGTCGACCTCGATCAACTCCAGCAACGCCGAGCAGCCGAACGCCGAGACATCACCCCGTCCTTCGAAAGCTTTCAGTTCAGGGAATTCCTCATAAGCATCGTCCACAGACAGCCCTTCTTCCCAAACGTCCCGACCGACCGTGCTGTTCCCTAACGACGACCAGCCTAGCAAGGAAACATCACACCCCGTAGTTGTGTGTAGCAGCTCGAGGAAGGTGTGGAGAGCGCCGGAGAAGGCGTCGTGCGGGGAAGAAGACGACGAGTCCAGAGGGAACGTCAATGCTATTGCGCAAACCGAAGGGTCGGTCCCCGGGCGGGTTATGTAGATATTCCCCACATCGTCTTGCTGGACGTAGTAGATTTCGTAAGCCAAGAGCAGGAAGAAAATTTGGACCGGTACTGACTGTAAGACCGGATTTGGTTGAAGCAGCGAAGGCTTCGAGTCCGTTGCGGAGCGCGGTGTTTAAGCCAGAATGTTCGTGTGCGGAGTATAGAGACTTCAATCTGCCAACATTGATAGGGTCTTTGTGTTGTTTCGATTCAGCCATTGCGGAAATATTGAGACATATCTCTTCGGTGCGGATAAACAGTTATAGGAAATGGCTTGTCTGGAGGCTTTCCGCGGGGAGTTGCCGTCATACCGAGGATCCGCTTCCGCTTTGAGAGGGGTTGGTTGAGATGTCCAAATCATTCAAGCAAGTCAGAGTAGATATGGAGAATCTTCAAAGAAACACTGTGTACCCAAAGCCATTCAGCTACTCACAAACATGCCAGATCCGACAAGTTATACTCGCATCTCTTACAAAGATGCAGAGTCATCCCTGCCCAACCCAGCGACTGGCGACATCGCCAAACCGTCTCTCAAAAAGCGTGGAACCCTAGTAGTGCTTGATGATGACCCTACGGGGACACAGACCGTGCACGATATTACTGTTCTTACGACCTTTGAAAAGGAGGTCCTGATAGACCAGTTCAAGTCAAAAGAGTCCGGGTTCTTTATCTTAACCAATACTCGTGCTTATCATCACAATGAAGTAAGGAGGTCAAAATTAAGACACGTGCTTATATATTCCATGATGAATGTTGTTCTGATTCTGAGGGGTTTGTCAGGCAAGAATACTCCTCACAAAACTCCTCGAGAATGTGCAATCTGCCGCAACAGAAACAGATACGGGAATCGAGATTGTTCTCCGCTCCGACTCCACCCTCCGCGGCCACTTTCCCCTCGAAAACGATCTAACCTCTTCCCTCTTTGGCCCCTTCGATGCATGGGTCCTAGCGCCATCGTTCTTTGAGGGCGGACGAGTAACGATGAATGACGTGCACTACGCACTCGACGCCCACGATGGTGTTACACTTGTCCCCGTCGGTGACACTCCTTCTGCTGCTGACAAGGGGTTCGGGTTCAAGTCGAGTAATCTGAAGGACTGGATCGAAGAGAAGTACGAGTGGAAAGACGTGCCTGAGGTTGTGAGCATTAGCGTGGAAGAACTAAGGGAAGGAGGAGCCCCAGAGAAGATATCTGCCCGCTTAAAGGCCATCAAACGCACAAAAGATGGGAGACCGCCCATCATAATTCCGAACACTTTCACTTCATCCGATATGGAAGTGTTTGTCGCAGGGATAGGTTTGGCACCCGACGTTCGATTGTTGTACAGGACAGGTGCCAGCTTCGTCTCAGCGCGCCTAGGGATAGCGAAGATAGCCCCAGTTCCACCAGAGAAACTGTTCGGGCCCACGAAGCCAGAGACAGACAGCGCACCTGGCGGCCTCACTGTAATCGGATCTTACATTTCCCGCACAACAGCTCAACGAGAATACCTGCTCGAGCACTGCAACTCACACATCGTACATCTCGAGCTTGATGTCGCTCAACTGCTGGGTCAGAATGACTCAAACCAAGATCCTTGGGATTTGATCAACTGGACAGCACGGACGGTCGACCAGGTCTTGGAGAAGGGGATGGATGCGGTGGTGAGCACGAGTAGGAAGTTGATCACGAACGATGATGGGAAGGAAAGTTTGTTGTTGGGAAGTATTGTCACAAGTGTGCTGGTGAACATCGTCAAGGCTATCTCTGTTAGACCGAAATACGTCATAGCCAAGGTATGCGATTCCACGCTCTGGGCACTAGCCCGCTAACACGGTCGATTTAGGGCGGTATCACGAGCAGCGACATTGCAACAGAAGGACTGGGCATGAAGAAGGCAAGAGTGGTCGGCCAAGCAGCGACTGGTGTACCGCTGTGGCGAAGTGAGCCCACTGGAAGTCCGAAGTGGCTTGACGTCCCGTACATCATTTTCCCAGGTAATGTGGGTACTACACAAATGCTGGGTGATCTAGTAGCCTCGTATCGAACGCGATGAGAAATATGATACAAGTGAGCTAAGTGGTGGCTTGTATATGATGAACATGATTGACTATCCTGAGAACTCGAAATCGAATGCCAGAGTCTCATCGCATAAGTCTTCTCTGAGTCTGTGCGTCCTGCGATGGTCAGATGGAATGATAAAGCGAGACAGGGGGTTTGATACTCTTGGTGTGCAGGGTGCAAGCCGTAGGAGGTGACATCTTCGACCTTTTCCAAGGTAGCGACGAGACCCATGTCGTAGCCCTTAGCTCTGTGGGCGGTCACCGCAAGCCCAGGCCCCACCTGGAAATCCAGAAGACCTGTCACTATCAGCAAGCGCCCTGGTTGTGATAGTAGAAGCAGCATGTAGAGTACCAGGTATCTTGCCAACCATCGATCTTGCCGTGGCCGCGAAATTGTCGAGTTGCTCCTTATCTACTCCGGACTTGAGCTTGAACAAGACTGTTGTTTAGTCAGTCATAGGAACTCATGCTCCCAGCACGCATACCAATGTGATAGACAGGCATCTTTGGAGGTCGTATGATGTTTAGGACGTTCCAATGAATCACGTTGGAGAGGGGGTTGGAGTCTGTGTGACTTTATCCGGGAACTCGCCGCTGCTTCGGACGGCCGCGGACGTGGCACCGGAATTGACGTCATCCATGCACGATTCGCAATATGATCCGAGTTGAAGTGTCCATGGAGAGGTGATTATACCAAATAGATGTGAATATTGTGTCATCTATGGTATTGGAAAGGCGGATTGCTGTAGTCCTTTGCAAAGTCCATATCCATCATCATCCACAACTCCGGCCTAGGATTTGTCCCCACGTTGTCTGCTAGCCACCGCATAGGCGTTTCCACTTGGGAATCCGATGACAGCAGAGAATTTGTTGTAGGTATGAAACTTGTTTGGTCGTACAGCTGCGGGAATTCCCCGCCCAGATTCATGTATGCATACTCGTCAACACCTTGTGAAGGGCCAGGCGCTTGGGCATCGAACCCAAATTGTGGAACAGGTGTCTGTGTTGAACCATGGGCACTCGAACGGCGTCTGCTCTGATTCTGCTCCTGTATTTGTTCTGCATTGGAGGGTACTGGTTGCTCCGGAGTCTGTACGAGGCGATCGTCGTCTTTCGGCTTTTCCTCTTGACGGAGTAGCTGTTCGATAATTTCGACGCACCTGGCATTAGACGGAGTACTCGTGGCGTTTCGAAGAATCTCTAGGCTCAAAGCGAGCCGGGCACCTGCTCCTTCTTCGTCCACGCCCTCTTTCAAATCTAGAATGTTGATAGTACTGGCCACGAACATAGTATAGCTTTCAAGATATGTAATGACTCGGAAGCCGAAACGGCGAATGTGGAGCATGAACAGCCTATCGATCATTTCTGCGGCCGTCGTAGCCATTTTTCGGGCGCGTTGCTGTTTGGAACGGTAAGGGCGACATAGCAGTATGATGGTAGCATGATACAAGAGATTCAGCAGAAGGATATGCAGAGGTGGACACGATACAGATCGTGAATCTTCTCGCACGTAAAGATTCGTTGATAGCCCTCGCGCCCAGCTTTCGAGTTTCTCGATTGACCTGTCAAGAAAGCCCTGTAGATGGTTCTGCGCAGAGTGCGGCTTGCTGTAAAGGGTCGCCAGCACCTCATCGATGATCACGCATAGCTGACAGTAGGCGACAAATCGACTGTTCGACCTCGCCTTTTGCGTCACACCTACTTCTAATGCCGATAGTGTTGCAAATCTCGGCCGCCAAGCCTCATTTTCTGCTTCCTCGCCGTCTAATAAGATATCGTTAGTTGGCGGTGGGATGATATCATGCATTGCCGGAGCACGTCCCAGGCATAGACTCATGGTCTTATCCCAAGTATAGCAGCTCCAGAACACCTGTTGCCTCAAAGCAAGCTCTGCTGGGGAGAAGTGGCCTCCCAAGTGACTGAGCTTTCTTGGTGGTATATGAATTCCCATGTCTCGCATCATACGGAAAGCCATTCCTGAGTAAAGCCAGCCTTGCGACGTCCGACCACAAGCGCATTCCCGCGCAGAAAATATCAAGAGGCCTTGTATAGTAGGAATAGAGCTTCCTTTATCTACCTCTACTGCCAGTGTATCTAAAGTTCGCTGAGCAAAGGTTTGACCCAACTTGGAAGCTTCAGGGCGATCTGAGTAGCGCGCGGCTTGTGCGAGGACGGCGTTGAGTAAGAAGGGGGTCACGTAAGGTCCTGAGCTCGTCAAATCCCGCATAAAGATCTTCCGGCATAGTACTAGATGTAGGTGATGAGGCCAGCACCAGTATGTTTCCAACAGCTCGTTGCACAGCTGAGAGTCGACATCTGAGTTCAAGTACATCCCGATGTCGGTTTGAGCGCTGGTACTGAGGGATGGACTGGGCGTATCTAATCAATTTTCAGCTCAGTAACTCCCTTCGAAACCAAAAATTTAGTACAAAGACCTGAGCCGAGAGCGATGGTGTGGCATACAACATGTCTTATTCCCAAAAGCATCTCCCGGCTCCAGTCTAACGAAGCCAATGGAAAGGGACAGCTCCACAGTATACATACCCAAGCTGAGGTTGTTCTGCCACTGGAATGTACGCTCCCAGGGTGCGATGTCGTTCGAAAGTACTAGATCCTACGTAGACGTTCTAATCAGCATCTCCTTCTTAGTGCTAGAATCCCAAGGATATGGCACAATTGGCAGGGTGCGCAACGGGCAGTTTACTCATGTACGTACCGTGTCTGGTCGCTCGCCAATCTGTGAGCGCAGGACCTTGTCCGGTTGCAGGTGGAAAGAACTGGTCGTTCCGTAGAAGCAAATGCGGCCATCTTCGTCCACCGAGGTTTCATTCAGTATCTCAGTGAGTTCATTTTCTGAAGAGGAGACTTCCGTCGTGGCGCTTCTATCCTGTCGGTCCTCTGTATTGCGAATTCTTTTCCTTTTCCCATTACCACTCCTGTCTCCACTACCAGAGAAGTGTTCCTCCAACAAACGGGACCGCTCCTCCTCACTTGCGATATGTAGGCATTTCAGAAGCGTTTCGCAGGTATCGACGCGGGCTTGCAGAGCCAGAGAGTAGGTAACGGAGGGTACTCTATGAGGTCGCCAGGTCAGTGTAGCAAGCGCAAGCGGTAAGAGGCCCGCACTTGTTGAAGTAACATGTCTCGCCGTTGGAGAGACACCTCTCACAGCTGGGTATTCCACCGTCACATTTGGCCTTCCGTTTCCTGCAATTGGCGCAGGCGAAGCCATACTTGCGGACCTCTTTGCCCTTGCCCTTGGATCCGGTGCCGTCGCCATTGACATCGCCCGGAGACTGAGGTGAACGAGCCATTATTATTGTCCGGGGATCTTATCTGAGTCGAGCATTTCACCTGCATGGCGGCTGAGAAAATGCAGGTCAGAAAGTAGAGCCGGTCCAGTCAAAGATCGGAGGTGCGGGGGAGAGCTGGGAGACGCGATAATTTTTTTTTTTTTTTTTTTTAAAAAAACTACGCCATGCGGGGAAGAAATTGTGGGGGAAACACGCCAAACACGTCTGAGCCTAGCTACCAAAACTTTAGCCGAGAGCATTTTCTCCTACTCGTACCTTTTACAGCTCAAGTCTCATCACTTCAAGTACCTACCTACGCTTTGGGAGCGACTGTGGTACCTCGATAACATGTCTGCACGTACTTTTGTCCCCCGAAAGAAGCTTTTGTGCTCAATCTGATCTACTCAAGTCGTTGGTAACGTGGGTCTTCTGAAAGCAATTTCCGCGGCATATAGACCACTACGGACATTTCAAGTCATAGCACGATGCACTGACAACGCCTGGATTGAGGAGTCAAATTTTCGCTGCACTAGGAGATATCAAGCGAACGAAGATGTGGACAGGGCCCACAAGAAGCATGGACCTATTCGTGCGCACGGCACCCGAAGAGGTAAACGTCACTTGTGTAGAAGGAGGCATGCATATTGTATACAACGGGGGTTTTGAAAAGACCGACTCCTATAGTTTCTTTGATAAATTTGGGTGAGTAAATAGACAGAGGCACCCCTCTTCCCGTTCATTCGGCAATCGAATGTAGACTGACTGACACCCGATCTTATCATCAGGGAAGGGAATACATTCTCCGCCATAGATTCCGCCACGCATTCTGCTCGGAAAAGCGTGGTCTCTCATATCTACTCCAAATCCTATTTGCTGTCTTCGAGCGCTGTTTGAGGAGCTATCAGCAGAATAATGAAGGATCGCCTCCTTTCATCTATCGAACAGTTTGTGCGATGCCAGAAAGCTGTCGATGTATACTCGTTCTTCAGCGGGGTGGGGATAGATACGATCACCGCTTATATCTTCGGGCCAAAAAACGGAACAAATTCATTGAGCTCGAAGACGAGCGCAATGCCTGGAGGGCTAAGTATAGCAGCAAATGGAGAATCGCGTTTTGGTGCCAGGAGTTTGCAAGGGGGAAGAACTTGCTTGAGATGCTGGGTGTGGAGATCGTCCCGCCATGGATGATCATGGCAAAGGCAGAAGTTGAAGATCGGTGTATGCAGATGTGCCTCAGTGCAGAGGCGGGTATGCTCACGCCGAACGTAGACGAAACGGAGAAAGTAGTTTACGCACATCTATTGAGCAACATGAACAGAGCTTCAAACTCAATGGTACCCAAACCAATTGGGCCCAAAGCAGATATCGATGGATCTCGGTCAGCTATAGAACAAGAGCGCAGGAACGGTGTTGCGAGTGAGATCATAGACCATATCAGTAAGTACTTGCCTCAGGCGTAGCCTCTCTACATTTGCCTGCATACCATGCCATGGTGAGGCTTGTCCTATTCTGATGCTTCATCCTTGTAGCTGGCCACGAAACGGTGGGTGTACGTTTAGCCTACCTGACCTATCACCTCGCCCAACATTCCTCGATCCAAAACCGCTTACGCGCCGAGCTCCACAGCAATACCACTACGAACTCCTTGAGATCCCTTGATAGTCTTCCTCTGCTCGAGGCTATCGTACTGGAGACGCACCGCCTGACACCTAGTATCTCAGGCCCATTACCGCGCGTGACACCACCACAGGGGTGCGAATTAGCCGGCTTCTTCATACCGAACGGAGTGAGATTAAGTGGGCAGGCTTACAGCCTGCACAAAGAAGAGCAAGTATTTGGTGGTGATGCGGGCGCGTGGCGACCTGATCGATGGCTCCAGGCTGGTGAAAAAAAGGGAAATGAGATGAGAAGATGGATGTGGCAATTTGGTGGTGGAGGAACAGGCTGTTTAGGGCAGCATTTCGCTACTTTGCGTATGTACCAGTCCCTCTCCTGCGGGTTGCTCACTCCTATTCCAGGAGACGCTTTACCGAGAACCTGCATTGCTGACGGAAAGTTTGACGCGGTTGCAGAAACCAAAGCGGTAGTGGCTGCTACATGTATATCTTTTGGGACCATCATGGTCGATGGGGACGATGGAGCAATAGAGCAGCAAGGCGGCTTTTTGACTCCGCCAAAGTCAGGCAAGCTACCGGTGAAGTATGTACACATCTAAAAGATAGTATTTAAAAGGCGCGGAAGTCTTTTCGCGGTAGCAATTCGATAATCAGATGTGCGAGCTTTCTGCTAGCATTAACCGAATCTATGAATCCGTAGCAATATTTGTCTTGGTGCATCACATGCCTGTCGGTAGTTTCCCATATGTTTGCAGTTGATATGAAGTGAAACATGAAAATGACAATCGTGCAAATATCTTAACTTTTTTTTCCATGATACAAGTGTAAATATTTCAACATATAATAGCTTTCGTGATTCGCACTTCATCATCAGATCTAATGAATTGATCATATCTCTGTCTCATGATCATGACTGAAGCTACGATGCGATTCTTGTCTCATTGTTTGTTGTAGTTGAGATGAGTCGCAACAGATGATAAAGGGGTAGGAAATTCCAGCGCCAAGAACTGCAGACCTTTGTGCACACGCTAGAGTATCCCGGCTCGCCCGGGCTGAGGAGCTTGGAAATACGGGTCAACAAGTTTCAGTATTGAATCTTTTTACTTTTCTTAACACCATACTCCGCCCTTTCGTTAGTCGCTACGCCTACTCGTACCTCTAAATTCAGCCAGAGCCGCTATCAAGAGCGTTGAGGCCAGCCTCACGAAGTCCATTCCCGCTCGAGAGCGAAGCTGCTCCAAGTGCCCACAACCTGAGCTACCTACGTCCTCACGATTTCCCCAACGGGTCTACGCCATGGCGACATCGGGTAGTACGCCGCGCACCTCCTGGTTTAGTGTGAAGAGATGGGACTGTATATATTCGGGTGTTGGATCGACTGAGAAGACGAAGCGCTGTGTGAGGGGGTGATGAGAGACCTCAGTGCCTGCAAGCCGGGCTTGCCGTTCATTGGGGTAGACTACCGAAACAAATTCGGAAGACGGATCTAGGCTACCATGAAGGAAGGAAGCCTCAGCTCTCGGCCTCGGCAGGGACAATACATTAGGTGGGCCAGTGTGGGAAGATTTGCAACAAGCTGCTGCAACTTTCTGTCCTGGGCGAGTCGCATGGCACCGTGCCCATGCTATCTCTACTGGTGGCTCGTAGGCTGTCTCGTCTCTGATCGGATCACAGTTGTCTTGTCAAGCCATCCATTACAGCCTCGGGTCCCAACAAAGGCAAATCAAGCTTCAGCAACTTGATAGCATTGTTACGCCCCTTGAAGAATACAATAGTTGGCGCTAGAACACATTGGACAGAGGAACGCGGAAAATTTACATACCATGTTGACTTTGTCCGTTGGGTTCATTTGCAAGCTGTCCCACCAGATGGCTGCTTCTTCGATGTCCTCGAACTGAAATCGCTCATCAGCCTACCTGACTGCGCGTTTCTTGACTCGAAAGGTAAACTCACCGGGTGATCAATGGAGAACATGATCCGATCCGCCCCCACAGCAGTGATGGCATTCAACAAATCTGGAGTTGAGAAATGGCCAGATGTCGTCAGCCAAATGTTCTTTTGGAAATAGTATCGGAAAGGGTGCTTCATCGGCAGCCCCTTATGTTTGTAGTGCCTGATCATCCAGTGATCGATACGCCAAAGATGCCCTGGAGTCATCTCTCCGAGATGTCCAATTACAATTTTGACGCTTGGAAAGCGGTCGAAGACACCATTGGCGCACATTCCAAGGATATGGCGCTGTACGTCTTGACCAAATTGTAACGACGCTATGCTTAGCCACCAACGAGGATCCCAGAGCTCTTTCTGAAGGTGCGGTGACTGTAAACTGCCGTCAGCGCCTCTCATCTGTCGGAGCCACAGGAATCTACCGCAAGACGAGGATGGATATATACGACAGTGTCTAGCTCCTATTCCACCTGCTTATCAGCCGGAATGCGCTTTTCGCGAACCAATGGCAAGTTTATCAGACCTGTACAGCGGCCCAAAAGTGATCATACTCGGGCTGGTCGTACATGAGCATGAGCATTGTTTCGCCATCAGGCCCAGCTGACTGGAAGTCGTTGATGATGGCACCCTTCAAGCCAAGCTCGATGACTGAACGGCGTAGCTCTTGGGCAGCTTGACAAGGATCGTGCATTGAGAGAACGCAAAAGCCTGCAAACCGCTTTGGATTCTTGCCAACTTCCTTTGCCATATAGTCGTTGGCTCGCCGAGCAAGACTCTGCAGACACCATTTCGGTTGGTCATTGGACTTGTGCGTGGCCTGGTAGAATGGACACTAACCTCTGCTTTCTCCTTATCATGCTGGCCTTGGGGTCCAGGACTGGCGAGTGACAGAACAAAGAGTTCGACATTGTATTGGGTCATGATCTCGAGCCTCTCGCCGTGTATGTCTAGCATCTGCTCTGCAAAAGCATCACCCTGCCCAGGAAGGGCAAGCTTTTTGCATTGGTCTACGGTTTCTGGCATATGGATCTTACGACACGAGCATCAGTCATGCGTCTATAAAACGGTATACTTTTCCCACCGCTTCCTCCAAAGCTATCTTCCCCAGCTGTTTTATTGATGAGCATTATTCCATTGAGATATTCAGGTGAAGAGCTACCATATAAGCTGGGGCCAAAAAGTCACCCCCAGCATGGACTCTGGGCATGACGGCGACGTTACGGAATTAAGGACTGCTTGGTGGAGTGGCTCGCTCGCCGAATCAAAGCTGTAGAGGTGAGGACACAGATTGGATAGAAGCATTGCAAGACCAAAACAGAAGTCGCTGGTCCTACGTAAGCGACGCTATGGCGCTAACAGCGGACTGTCACGATGTGCCGTTCGCGGTATCTCTCCGTTATTGCCCAAATTTGGCCGGAACCTGGGGTAAACAGATTGATTGTGTGGAAGCGAGAACTAAAATCTGGGGGATCAGCGCCTCCAGTATCTATAGAAAATATTGGGGAGCTTGCTATGAAAGGAGAGTGAAAGTCTCTCTGCGAAAATCAAGAAATTTCCTGCGCTCAATACTGCTATACAATTTGGGATACATCATGTCAAAGGAAGTTATCTCAAATCACGTCGAGGAGTTTTCTGGCGAGCCCTCTGTTCCGCCAGCAGACCTAAGCAAAGTCGAGATCATCACACTCGAAGATGACCCTCACCGTGCTGCTCTCGAAGACGACTGTAAGCAGAAACTGCCTGGGAAGACCTGGGCAGCAGTGTTCTTCCCCGGCTTCACATTCCAGCCTGCGTTGGCTTTTCCTATCCTCGGTGTCTTTCCAATCATCTCGGTGATCGCCATGGACGTGCAAGGGACGACGACCAATTCCGCGTGGATGTCCTCGGGCTGGACGTTAGGGGGGACGATTGCCTTCGCGATTGCTGGAAGAATCTCGGACATTTTTGGCCGAAGATATGTTCTCCTCATTGGGCAGTTGATTCTCATTGTTTCCTATGTACGTTCCCATTCACCTCCTCCTTGGATCGAGTGGTTCAAGCAACTGATCTTGCTAGATCATTGGTGCGACTGCAAACAGCTTAAATCAACTCATCGCCGCAATGGCAGTTGGCGGCTTTGGCACCGGCACTGCCCTTGTGCTATACCCAGGGTTGTCTGAGATCCTACCAAACCGATATCGGTCCGTCGGCCTTGCCTGGACCGAATTTAACCTCGTCCCCATGTCAATCTTCGGATCGCTAGCTGGCCACGCACTGGCACAGAATGCTACCTGGCGCTGGATATTCATCATTGGTGGCATCACGGCTGTCATTTCTCTAGTTGGGACTGCTGTGTTCTACTTCCCACCGCCTCGCCCTCATGCTGTTGCGCATATCTCGCGGGGACAATTGCTAAAAGAGCTCGACTGGCTTCTTCCTTTACACTGTTGGCCTCACGATACTCCTGGTCGGGCTTTACCAAGGGGGGAATACGCGCATATGACACTCAGCCGGCGTTGTAGCACCTATCGTGTTTGGCGGAATCGCTTTCGTTGGCTGCTTCATTTGGGAATTCAGTGGAGTGGCCAAGCGCCCTTTGTTCCCATTTTACATGTTCAAGAAGGGTCGAGAGTTTACCTCTCTAATTGTGTTGGTCGACCAATTGCCAAAATCGGGACTCATTGCTCACTTGATTGCAGGTGTATCTTCGTCACTGGCTTTTGTTACTATGCCATGACAAGTCTAATCCCCCAACAACTTTTGCACGTGTACTCCACAAACAAGATCAAGCTGGGCGAGCTACAGATGGCAGCAGGTGCTGGCAACGTTTTGTAAGGACCTATCTACCGTTGCAGCAGATGTCACTGCTGACCATGGCATAGTGGCGGTGTCGTGATGGGAGCTCTCGTGCACAAATTCAAGCACGTCCACATTCAGCTGATGATCGCCGTCGCCATGCAGATGCTCTTTCTCGGCCTCTCAGCGCTCGACACGCCTAAGACGATCGCCATGACGCTGGCCTTCCATTTCTTTGCGACTGTACCTTTTGCCTGGGTCACAGTCGCGTGCTACGTCACGGCTAGTCTCCATATCCCTCAGAAAGGTCTGGGTATCGCACAAGGCTCCATTGGGACTTTTCGTTTCCTCGGCGGCGCCATCGGAAGTACCGCCTTGAACATCATCATCAATGAGAAATCAGCAGAGAAGCTTTCTGGTTATATCGCTAAAGCAGTGCTACCTCTCGGTCTCCCGCAAGCCAAGTTACAGGCGTTTTCCGCAGCTTTGGCAGCAGGCAAGCCATTAGCTGTCAAAGGCGTGACTCCAGCGATGGCTGCAGCTGGCTTGGCAGCTTCGCGAGAGGCTTGGGCGTATGCATTTCGCATTGCTTTCTTGGCTACGATTCCCTTTGGAGTGATCGCGACAATTGTCGCCTATTTTGTCGCCGATCCGTCGAAGTATTTCACGCAGCATGTAGCGATCCATCTCGAGACCGATAAGGTCGATGAGCACGGTCATTCTGAGCACGCTTGATGATGAGCTTGAAGTCGAAACATACAAGTGTACGCAGCGCTCTTGGTAAGGTCGAGCATTTGGGCGTTTGATGTGTCTAGATATCGTGACGACACACAGATGATCCAACGTTTTCAGAAACACATGCACAAAGATGCCACTACTCTAACTGCGAAGCCTTCTCTTACCACCCGTCATTGTCCAAAGTACGCAGTCCGATATACTTCTTTGGCTCCTTGAAGCGGTTTCCGATGCCTTTGGTCTTGCCCACTCTTAACGCTGTGCCAGATTCAACCAGGTGCTTGCGGCTGTGTATGCGCCAGAACTGCCAAGAACAATTTTGGCCACCGAAGCTTTGGATGACATTGTCACCGCCAGGATGCACCCTCGTGAAATCCGAGCAGTCATAGACAATCTCGTCTATCACGATCCCTTGATTAGTCAACATACATTCAGATATCAACATGACTAGCAGAGTACACACATAGTTTTGAGCCTTTCTTTCCGTCTCTCAACTTCACCGTCTCTGCCGGTATGATGGGCAAGTCTACATTTTGAATGTCTTTGGAGCAAATTGGATACTCTACGTCTTCAACTTGAGCGACTCCACCGGCCTTGACAGCGTCGTCTCTCCTCAAAAACTGTTCGTAGTCTGTCCGAGGTGGCTGCTGGGAGCCAAGCGTCATCCATCCCATAGCCTGAAAGCGAAGGGTTCGAATTTAGCGGCGTGGCTGATTGAGCAGCGGAACGATTTGAAGATATCGAGTATGAGGTACTCAGTCATACGCGAAGCATAGCATTTTCACAGCATCTGATAGTTATTCCTAGGTACCCCGGACTTTTCGTCGGAATCTCCCCACAAACCCCGCAGCGGAGAAAAACCGACGCTTAGCGTGATACGGAGACCGGCTGATCGGCAACCCCTCTCAAGGCCGTGCTGCCGAGTGCTCTGATCTCGGAAGGTATTCGTGGTGTGCGGGGTTATAGCAATGAGCGCAATGGGCATCGGAACGATTAAGTGCGAGGTGGAAGAGGGTCATCTTGCCGTCGAAGGCGCCTCTTGTTCTGGAATCCTGCTTAATCACTGTCGGTTTTTTTCGATATTCAACTCTTCATCTAGCTAGTTTGTTTCTCAAGCTTGAATACAATCTCCAAATCAGCAAGATGGCGCCGGGCATACTCGTCAACGGTAGTACGGATACCAGCAATGGTCTCAGCAGCCACCGCTCCTCTGGGAGGAAACTCAACCCTCAAGACGACCTGCGATTTGACCCAAAGCTCAAGCCAAAGACGTATCTCATGGAAGGCACTCAGCCCGACTCCAAAGTGCTATTCCTCGACGTAAACATCCTCGACTCGACAGGAGCAGATCCCTACCATGGAGACGTCTACATTGAGGGAGAACGAATCGTCTTTGTTGGCACTGTTCCCAGGGTCGAAGAGCTCCGGAATGACTCAAAGGTGCGGGTCATCAATGGCCGTGGGCGGACACTTATGTCTGGCTTGGGAGACGCGCATACGCACTTCACGTGGAACAACGGTGCTCTAGACAAGCTTGGCGATGTCGGTGTGGAAGAGCATACGCTCATGACAGCGCGGTCTGCGCAATGCTACCTCGATTCTGGCTACACCATGTGCTTTGGCGCGGCGTCAGCCAAGGACCGATTGGACTGCGTCATAAGAGACTATATCAACGCAGGGGATATTCCAGGGCCCAGGTATCTTGCCAATGGAAAAGAGATGGCTGTTCGGAACGGGGAACTCGCGGCTGGAATCACGACTTTCGCTGATGGGCCACTTGAGATGAGGGAAGTGATTAGACACCACAAAGATATTGGAGTAGATCAGGTCAAGCTTAGCATGTCTGGTGAAGAGGTAAGTGTATCTCAGGGCTTGCTATAGCCGCGTATGCCGTTCGGCACTTACATGGATCTAAGATCACAGAATCACGCTCAGCCCAAGACTCTTACTACAGCGACGCAGAAACTGCCGCCTGTGTCGATGAGGCCCATCGTCTAGGCCTCAGACTGTGTTCCCACGCCCGTGCTCGAGACTCGATCAAGCAATGCGTGAAGCACGGAGTGGACGTGATATATCACGCCAGCTATATAGATGACGAGGGCATGGAGATGCTGGAAAACAACAAACACAAGCACGTGGTGGCACCGGGAATCAACTGGCTATGGGCGACGGTATATGAGGCTGCTCCTTTCGGCTACTCTTTCGAGAAGGCGGAGCAGGTGGGATACATGAAAGAATTGCAGACGGCAATTAGGGGCCTCAAAGAGATGCATGAGAGGGGCATTACCGTGTTGCCGTAAGTCTTCCTCTCACAATCAGGCTGTGGATGATTGGCTGAATGTCAGCAGTGGTGGTGATTATGGCTTCGCCTGGACTCCTCACGGCACTTACGCTCGCGACTTGGAGCACTTTGTCAAGCTCCTGGATTTCACAGCCATGGAGTCCATCATCGCGGCCACAGCTGGTGTGGCAAAGCTGTTCATGCGTGAAGACGAGTTGGGCAAGGTCAAACCTGGCTACTTTGCTGACGTCATTTTGGTTGACGGCGATCCATTGAAAGATATTGCCGTTCTTCAAGAGCACGACAAGCTGAACGTGATTATGATCAATGGTAGAATTCACAAAGCATCACATACAGAATTTGTGAAGACAGGCCTAGGACCCGAGATAATGCCTCCAACGATTGCGCCAATGACTAATTTTGTGGCCTACGAGGATAGCCAGGGCCGAGCCAGGATTGGTCATCTCAGTCTGGACGAGTGTAGGATAAATCCAATGGCCATGGCATCAGGTGCGCCAGTCAGCAGTCTGTACCAGGTCATTGAGCTGGGGAACGATGTGGTCCCTGCAGGCGAAGCTGTTACTCTGGATTCAGTGAAATTGTTACCACCCATCAGCGGTCGAGACATCCTTTGTGTTGGCAAAAACTATGCTGCGCATGCCTTAGAGTTCAACAAGAGCGGTTACGATGCCAGCGACAAAGTCGACAAGCCGTCCCATCCCGTCATCTTCACCAAGCGATCTACCAGTATAGTGCCTTCGGAACACGACATCTACCCACATCCAGATTTCACCCAGACTCTGGACTACGAGGGTGAAATAGGAGTCATCATTGGCAAGCCTGGATTTGCAATCGACGAGAAGAACGCCATGGATCACGTCTGGGGATACACGATTATCAACGACGTGACGGCTCGCGAGAAGCAACGAGATCACAAGCAATTCTATCTTGGCAAATCTGCTGATACATTTTGTCCGATGGGCCCTATTGCAGTACCTGCTGCCCAATTACCAAAGATCCTAAGGGTCCAGACTTACGTGAACGGGGAGAAACGTCAAGATGGCACGACGGAGGATCTCATCTTCTCCGTCGCGCAATTGGTGAAGACCCTCTCCGAAGGTATCACTCTTCAACCTGGGGATGTACTAGCAACAGGAACGCCAGCTGGTGTAGGCTTCGGCCAAGATCCTCCAACATTCCTCAAGGCCGGCGATACAGTTGATGTAACAGTCACCGGTCTCGGTAAACTCACCAATCGCATCGCTGACGCCAGCGTCTCCAACAAGACAATCGACAGCGTCGCTCAAGTCTCCAGCATTCCAATGTACAATCTCGACATCAGCTGTGGCGGGGGGGGACTCACAAAGATCAATGATAAATTGATAAATGTTGTCGAAATCGGCACTGGCACGGACCCGGTTATCTACATACACGGCCTCGGCGGCACTATGGAATTCTACCGACCTCTCATCGATGCAGCGCACCTCAAAGAATCCCACAAAAACATCCTTTACGACCTCGAAGGCCACGGCCTTACGCCCACCAAAGCATCTTCACCGGTAACCATGGACAGCTTAGTCGACGATCTAGCCGGCATATTTGCAAGCCCAGAACTCAACATCAAATCCGCAACCCTAATCTCGCACTCAATGGGCGGCTTGATAGCCATGAACTTCGCCCTCAAGCACCCTTCTCTCGTGAAAAAGCTTATCCTCATCGGTCCCGGACCGTCTCCCCTCCCCGCCGCAGCGAGCGAAGCAACCTACAAGCGTGCTGCCGCGGTGCGAGACAAAGGCATGAAAGCATCTGGCGTTGCCGAGACTGTAGCGAACGCAGCCACATCTGCCAAAACCAAGAACTCAAAGCCGTTGGCGCTAGGCGCGGTGCGAGCATCCTTGCTATCGCAAGATCCAGAAGGATACGCGAAAGGATGTATGGCCCTCGCCGGCACGGTAGGGACGGCGCTTGACATTGAGAAGATAGCGGTGCCGACGTTGATAGTTGCGGGGGATGAGGATAAGATATCGAGTCTGGAGTGGGCGCGGAAGATGGAAAATAGGATGCCGAACGCGAAGGTGAAGGTGCTGAAGGAGGTCGGGCATTGGCACTGTTTCGAGGACCTAGACGGGGTGGCGAACGCGGTGAAGGATTTCCTGTGACACCCGAGGCAAGGAAGCATTGGTGATTACTATTAGTTGATCTGTCTTAGCTCTGAGATAGTTGATCACCATGACTCTGCTTTTACAAACTTACAGGCAAGCGCAGTGTGAAGCCTCGGTTAACTGATGTTCGAACTTTGTCATTCAGGCAGGCGAAAAAGCAGTCACGTTTTCCACGCCTACCCGAAAGGGACATGAGAGAGCTTGGTTGCACAGGTAAAGCTCCAGCTTCACCTTCATATTTTCCACTTTACCTCAAAAAGACTTGTCACTCCATCTCATCCGCGCCTAATTCATCCTTACTTTCAACGTTTTCTCTTGCCACGCAGACCCTGATTTCAGCACTGCCCCTTCGAGAAGAAAGATGATGGAAGCTTTTGCATAGCTATATGACCAGAAACAAATGGCAAATGCTTTGCTCTGAGCTTTGCTTCACAGTTCTGCAAATATTCACTTCAATCAAACAGGGTCGGTACGTCAAGCCCATACATCCATACGACCACATTTCTGTCTCAGATCTGTCAAGTCCAGTTCCGAGAACCTTATCTCTCCAGTTCTGCGAGTACTGATTCGAAAACCAAAAAAGCACCAGTTTTATGGCGCCCCCATGTCTAAATAGCGTCAGAGTCAAAGCCATACTGTCTCAGATCTGCAGCCTAGTCCAGAAACTGAGCATGTATTCCCCTGGCACCAACACCGCCGCCATCTAACCCCACCGGCCAAACAATGGACGAGGTCACCGGAAATATCTCCCATCGATAACTAAAAGCTGCCGAATTCAAGCACGAGCTGCGCAAGTGCAGCCTCAAGATCTTGGGCACGAAGAATGAGCTTGTGAAAAAAGAACGCTCAATGCTCTAGATAGAGACCGACTACGCCGTGGTCGACGGACCGACAACGTCTTTCATGACGAAGCTGGGCGAACTGCTTGACACTCTCTGAAAACCAAAGGTTTTTACACAACGATCGAGCTGCTCTTCTGATAGTGATGGTCTGCAAAACGGTATCGATAGCCCGGAAAGATTAAGGGAAGGCGCATCTCCGGAGGAGCAGGATACAAAAATTAGTATTCGACGTGCTCACTTGCAGGCAAATGGCATTGGCAGTAGCCCAAAGATCATGGAAGCCTGCAAGAATGGTATCACAAACACTAAAGAAAGGAAGGTCGTTCAGACCGCGACCAAAGTGGCGAGTTGCCGCAACCCAGCACACGTCTCCGAGCCTCAATGTCCATCACAAGCGGATCAGTCCGGCTACTACAAGCATCTGCTGGAGTTGCGTTCCAGTAAATCACATGCAACTATCCATCACCATTTTCCCCTCACCGTCAACTCGCATGTCCGCTATTTCTATGTTCCTCGACAATCCCTCCTCCCAGTTCAAAACGACTCTCTCCACCCACCCGCGCCACCGAGCTTAGCTAAGTGCTTGGTTTGATTGCGCTTGGCCGAGACCACTACTGTGATGTGGTGGAGCAGGTGCAAAAGAGCATTATCGACCCCACAGCCTCCATGAACGGGAAAACTAGAGCACTTACAACGACCGGAAGATCAAGTCCGGGGGTGTCGAAACCCATCAGATCCGCGTCCCTGTACATGCAAAGAGGACGAGACTTCGATGCGGTTCATGTCGTCGCCGCATCACACCCTCCCTTTGAATGTGGAGGACCTAGGTTTACCAACCCATACTATCCTCCTTCAACCCGTCTATCGACTAAAACGCCCTCGAGGGAATCATGAGGTCGTCATCGACCACAAGGTGAGTCGGTTGTTGAAGAATGAGCAAAAGGCCGCCCATCGCACATCGGTAAGCCTCTACCGTCCGCCGCCCTTGGGGCGTATACCTCCTACTCTCATTCACTCAGACACATGAGCAGCATCCGAATAGGATACGGCGATCGATATGCCACGAAAAAAAGCTTCCGGAGCAGTATTTCCCGAGCACAGACCAAGCTTGCCATACTGAAGCGAAGGATACTGCCACTGGGCGCCTTCGATCCGTGATGCATGAGGCCGGGTGCAGGGATTTTGAGGGGTCTGGGAGATTTCGTATGTTGTAGCTATGCTCTTTTGGGACTTGGCAGGCAGTGTTGAGTCAATCCGAGGCAGGGGCCGGCCACGAGAAATGGGACGGAAATTTCGGATGGCACAATTGTCGTAGAGATGTAGTTGTTCATCTCCAAGTTCTTGCTTTCCAGATAGATAGATAGATAGATAGATAGATGGCACTTCACGTCCTCATGACCCCCTTTTTCCAAACCAGATCCCTCCACATGCCCTCCCACCTCGCTTCCATCCATCCACCCCCACTCCCTCACTCTCCAAAACTCCGCATTTCTATCAAATCCGATGAGACCGCCTCCAAACGACCCAGCTACAGCCTTACCTACCATCGAGCCCGACCCCGTTCACCAGCGTTCATGAGCCAAGCCACAAGAACGCTGACATCAACTCCAGACACACAAACGTCAGCCACCACCGCCAGCGACAAACTCTCCACTACAGTGCGCGAACCCTGATTCTCACATCCTCGGACCGGATCGATCTAGACTTCCTTTCCCCTCCCATTAGCTGTACACAACCCCCCCCCCGCCTCATCGACCCACCTACCTCAATCTCAACCGCGACCGCGACGCAACGACAACGATCTCACAAATTCACTCGCTCCCAGTCGCACGTCTCAAACCGAGAAAAGAGCCGTCACCCTCGTTGCCAGCACGATACAATCTCGAACTCAATCTCAACCCCATTCTTCACCCACCGCTAAAGGGCGACAGATCGAAAGAAAGAAAGACTGATCTCGGGACTGCAGACGTACGGAAATCATGCCGGATACCGGAACCCTACTACCGTCTAATGGACGGTCAAGGGCGAGATGCAAAGACTGTGCTTACCTTAGGCTCGCACGTGAAGACTTTCTCGGCTATGGTTCACGGCGCGCTGGTATCGATCGTGGGCGGGTTCTCGGGGTTTATGGACTGGGGGGGGATGAGATTATGATGATGATGATGATGATGATGATGATAATGGACATACGGCTATCGCGCCCGGAGGGGAATGGATTCTCTTTGCGTGGATCCCGAATACTGGGATACAGTGACGGACCCGGAAGATGTTGTTTTTGAGAGGGAGGAACGGAGACGCGCAGTGACGGGTACATGCAGGAACGCGCAAAAAGGAGAAAGGGAGAGAGAGAGAGCGCGTCCGGCGTTCTTGGGTTGAGGTGGGAAAGGGTATGTACGAGCGAGATGGGGGTTCTTCTGCTGTGGAGGAGTCGCACGATTCGCGCTTCGCTCATACCCATCGTACTAGTACGGTGATGTCCGGTTGACGCTCGGTGAGGAGAGAGAGATTGCGGACATGTGACAGTTGCACTGATCATGAGCTGAGTATCTGTAAACGACTTGGGTTGCTTTTGTAGCATCGGGAACAGTCAGTTGCTTCCGGACGAGCTGTGAGCTCGATGAAATCCAAGCCCCATCTTCCCTCATCGCCGAGGCTGAGATAAAGATTTAGGGTGCAGGTGTCTAGACTCCAGCCAAGATGGCAAATCCCACCACTTAGCCGACAGCCATTCTGATCTTGAGCAAATCCTTCGCGACAATCTCGTCCTTCATCGCGAACAACTCCGGCATATCCCACGTGCAGCTCACATACCTTCCCTGGAGCCACTCCTGCCTCTTCTGCGTCAAGCAGACAATCGTGTCACCCGCCATCTCAGGCGTGTCCGTGAGCATACCGTGCATCTCTTCCGGCATGCTCATCGCCGTACCCGTCTTCACCGCGCCCGGGTGCACCGAGAAGGCCATGACGCCTTGGTCGCCATATTCGGCGTTGATGCACTCGGAGAACCGGAGGATGGCCAGTTTGCCCGTCGTGTAAGCGCTGAAGCCGGGGAGGAGTAAAGTCGCGCCGACGGATGAAACGTTGACGATTTGCTTGTCGCCACCTTTCAGCATCAAGGGGAGGAAGGAGCGCGTCACGAGGTAGGATCCACGTATGTTCTGGCATCGAGTCAGCCGCTACTTTGGGCTGATTTATTTGATCGACGATCAGACCCACCACCGTCCATGTCTTCCACCACTCATCTGGGTCGCTGTCTGCAATTCGCACAGCTGGTTCGAGGGATCCCGCGTTATTGACCAATATATCTAGTCTGGTGAAGTCTGCTTCCACCTTTTTCGCGGCCGATTCGACCATGGCCCGATCCTCCACATCCAACTTCACGGTCAAGACCTTGGGTTCACTTTTCCCAGCTTTCTTTGCTGCTTCTCGTAACTCTTCCTCTAGGTCCAAAACCTCGGAGCGCGCTCCTAGACCTATTGCTGCAGCGCCTGCTTTTGCGTATGCGATGGCTATGGCGCGGCCGATGCCTTTGGAAGCTCCGGTGATGAAGACATTTCTGCCTGTCAGGTTGGACTTCGTCGCGGAGTCGATAGCGCGATAGGAGTCTTGGTGAATCGTTTTGACAAAGTTGGCGACTGCGGGTGGGGGATCAGCAACTTGGCAACAGTCTCGCACGATGTAAGAATGGTACCATTTGATGGCATCTGCTCTTCCGCCATGTTTGAAAATTCTGTATGTTGGGGGTAAAGATGGAAGAAGACGAAGGTTCTTGTTGGGGGGAAATAAGGCTCTATAATTCGGTGGTTGATAATAGGCAGACTGACGTCAAGAATGGGTCCCTGTTGCATGTTATCGCTGGAAATATCTCATCCGTGGAGAAAGTATCATTACTAGGTACCTTCCCATAAATACCATGTATTATTCATAGATTCCACGTCGTCGTTTATAAAAGCCCACATTTGTGTTCACATCAATGCAGCAATACTTGAAAATATACCGAATTTTATTTCTTCGGTCTGTATTTGTGACCGAGCTGAGGCTTTTCGGACTAAATTTGTAACCGAGGTAAGCTCTTCCATCTGCGGTCTTTCGAATAAATCAACCTCGCTATTATCCTCGTGATTTGATCGTTATATATATCTCCTGCACACTTATCCTCCGTAAATATAGAGTACACACTAAAGAAGATGGTGGGGGTAAGCGGTAACGACGTAGGTTCTATATAGTGGTGGGTAGTAAGCAGGGGTAATAAGTTAACTAACGATAAAGTAAGGGAGGTAGTAAAGGTAGTAGAAAGAGGTGAAAGAAGTAGATAATAGTAGTAGTAGTTGAATTCTGCGTTCAACATAAAGAAGACATACTTATTGTTCATGGGTAACCGATTTTACCTAACGTGTATGGTTATAATGGAATTTTGCCTATGAGATGGGTGCCATGACACCGTAAATAAGTATCTTCCGCATGGAATGTTATATTATCCATGGGTGATACATTTCATACCATGGATAAATCCTACCCACCAATAACATGCAACATATCAGAGAGTCCGGACGTCCAGTTCGCATGAGATTGGCGAAGAGTAGACTCGCTGACCATCGTTTGGGACGTTGCGACGAGAACTTCCAGGGGATTTGTGCATTGCGTAGATCCATCTTCGATAGTCGGTCAAGGGAAATTACTAGGGGTCTGGTTCAGAGTGGCGGCCTCAGTTTTGAGATGCCTTTTCGTAACATTAGAAACAGGCGTATGTCGTGAAGATAGTACCTGTAGATGTTTCATACTGTGCAAGAGAGAAGGTTTAAAAGAGGAGGAGATACTGGCAGTATATTATGGTGATGGGATAAAGATCAACATTAAGTTTGCGGCGATTCTTCAGGGCACAGAGCAACAATTTCAGAAGTTTATCCACTGTAGCTTTGCATTTTCCTCCTTCCTGGCATCGAATGAAAAGGAGCGGTACGTAGAGTGTATGCAAGACGATGAGGTAACCAAGGAGTATACCTATATTGATCAGAGATTGCTGGAAGCTCGTCACCTCGTGAACCTGAAAATTCGGGGCTGTCACTACAATCAGAAGCTTAAAAGTAGCTTAACAGTATAGCACACAGAGGTTACTCGCATCATCGTACCTGGTAGCAGCAATACTGTATAAAGGACGACTCGAATCACCAATCAAGTGCGTAGAAATGTTGGCGAGCTGGAATTTGATGCCCTACTCGATCCATCAGATGACTGTGCATGGCCCTCGACAATTCGGCACTCTTATACCTTCGTCTACTATGTTGAGAAGAGCAGGCAAGGGATGTACAAGGCAAAATAAAGCAAACGAGGCAAACGCTAATGTACACTATGTTTCGCGGATGTATAGGACCACGAAGCAGAAAGAAGATTTAGCTTCAGATGTCCCACTTCTGGAACTCTTAAAAGCTGGATCAAGAGACAAGATGTCTGCATGGTGACGCGACGATTGAAGAACAATACTACATTCGATTATTATTAAAGTAGGAGAAAGGACTCGGACGCTTGACAGCAAAGTGAATCCGATTCATGCTTTTCCCGGCAATATGTCACATCATGTAGACAGGATAGGCAAGTCATTAATTGGTATGGTTGGGGGTGATCGGAGGTTTTCAACTCTATCAAGCGGCAATCACCAAAGCCACTCACGAGGGAATACGAGTACCTAGGAGAAAGACGTTACCCAGCAGTGCCCTGCATCTCAAGTGGCTGACTAGCTAGCAGCAGGTTACATGTAGATTGGGCGAATATCTAAATGATAAGATGATGACCTCGACACTGGATTCAGGGTTGAAGACGCTTTCTGCCGTTTCGAGTTCTTTTTATTGGGACGTTGGTTGATGGTTAATGATGCGGAGAGAAAATGGCGGTGGTAGATCAGTGTGATTATTGAGCACAGACTCGTGGATGGAATGCCAAGGGAAATTCTAGCCGCTAATCTTAGTCAATCTTAGCGCCATCTAACTGCATCTCGGCATGCTCAGCCTCGGCAAATCTAGGCGAACTCTCCGCCAACCCTCCATCTTCTTCCAGCTCACCTTTTCCTGCACCAAATCTTCCCAGGACATAAGACGCACGCACACCTCACACCTCCTCCCCACCGGTCCTCGTGCCACATCTTCTTTTCAGCGACCCAGGGTATCGGGCACTGGACATAATATCATACCATCAAATTGAATCCAATATGTCGGAACTGTCGGTCGATTGTTCTGGTAAGGAAAAGGATTGGAATGGATCGCTTGTCCTATCCAATCCCCATCTGACCACAGCGTACCAACTGGTACTTACCATCCTCGCTTTGACAATGAAGCATTTACACGGGTGAACCACATCCTCGGGATCTTAGCATCTATTAGCATCACTTAGCATCTTCTGGCACGCAACCTGATAGGGAATCCCAACTGCACGGTAGCAGGATAACAACATGTACTCCTCCTCATTCCTGAGCCCCTTCGTCAGCATAATTGCGCCCTCCTTGACTTCCCCAAGATCTGGGAACAGATGCTGGGGTCAGCAGGTCTACCTGCTCTACCTAGAATGAACTTATCAAAATGGGCCTCCCCGCATCTCCAACTTTCAGCATCCTCAGTATTGTCTCGTAACAGGGAAGCAAAATGTCAATCGGAATCGCAATCATCGGAGCCGGGATTTTTGCACGACAAGGTCTGTGCCCTCCCTTTTCTAGACATCATTGTTATTGCCTTGACTAATTGAATCTCTTCTGCGCAGAACATCTCCCAGCCGTCCAAGCCACCCCTCTCCTCTCCCTCAAAGCAATCTACTCTCGCTCCAAAGCATCCGCCGACAAACTTGCCAAAAGCGCGGCTAAGCCCGTCAAGACATACTATGACTCGCCGGCCACATCCGGTCACTCCCTCGACGATCTCCTCGCCCACCAAGACATAGATGCCGTGATAATAGCCTTGCCAATTTGCGTTCAGCCAAGCGTGATCAAAGCAGCAATTGAGGCCGGAAAGCACGTGCTGAGCGAGAAGCCAATCGCAAAGGACATAGAGACAGCTGCGCATCTGATACGGTGGTATAAACATCAAAGACGCGAGGAGACATGGAGTGTGGGCGAGAACTTCAGGTTCTTCGAGCCAATCGTGTTCGCCGTCGAACAGATCAAGAAGCTTGGCGGAGAGTTGGTCACCTTCAGCGTTGACGTACATGCATACATTGATGAAAACGATGAGTATTTTCAGACGGCATGGTATGTCCCCCCATGACTCCCTCGGGGTCACCAGGTTTCTGGGTCGCGCTGACCCCTAGTTCTTCGCTAGGCGCCAAAAGCCCGACTATCAAGGTGGCTTCCTTCTCGATGGTGGTATCCATTTCGTCGCAGCCCTTCGGTGTCTCTTAGAAGCTGCAGGCCAGTCAATCTCAGTAGTAAGAGCTTCCACGTCCCTCATCAAAGAGGACCTCGGACCATTGGATACGCTCAACGCCAATATGACCACTACCGATAAGCGCAATGGCACGTTCAACCTCTCCTATGGATCCAAATTCAGGCGTGACTGTCGGGTCTGTATTGTGACTACCTGTGGCGCTGTGGTAGTGAGTCCAAGTGAAGTCACAGTATCGACCGGCGACAAGACTACAACCCAAAACAAAACATTCAGATTCCCACCCGGTAGTGGAGTTCGCAAAGAGGTGGCTGCATTCGCCGAAAGCATCTCTGCAAAGGAGCCGAACCCGAGAGGGTCTCCCGAGCAGGCGTATCTCGACTTGAAGCTTTTGCAGGGCATGCTAGAGTCTGGTGAGGAAGAAGGTGCGGCGAAGAGAATATAGGACATGAGCATCACATATCTTGTCAAATTTCTCTGGAGTTGAAGGCCCGATCAAGCTCGGCAATCTGTTCCATGCTCTATACACATCCTCGCGTCTATCTACCGCAGCTTCCGCAACGACTCTTCTCGTTTGACAACTTTCGCTTGCTGTTCATACGACTGCCTTTCGGTGCCCGTTCGTATCTGGTCCCCCGCGCGATTCTCCTAAACTCGTCTATCGTTCTCCTCCTCGTCTCTACCCTTAACACTTCATCCTCCTCGTCTCTACCCTTAACACTTCATCCTCATATTCACCTCCATCAGGATCATCACCAGACCCAAAGTCCAAGCCAGAGTCGTCATCAGACCCACACATCATCGTCTCCAACTCCCTCCTCTCCCTCCCACCCAAACCTCCCTCCTCACCCTCACCATTCCTCTTCGCCCCCAGATTTACACATGTCAGTGACCACCCGCCCCTCCCATCGCAGCCTCCATACTCAAGTTCCATGCCCGATACCGTCTTCCTCCCACGTCATCAAGAACAGAAAACGCAGACACCCCACCACACCGTCTGTCAAAGGCTCAACCCCACAGACAGTCATTCAAACTTCCATACTCAAAAGCGTCATCCTACAAATGACACAGAAATAAAACATCATCGACCCAACCGGCCAGGGGACGCGTGAGACTGCGAGGTCAGCTGGCTCCGTCGCTACTCCGCACCCTGCGCTCCCGTCTCCCGCGCTGGGGGGACTCTGACCGGGTCCCCTTCGCTCGCGGTTTCATCTCCGCATCCGATGCGGTGGTTTTGCGTGATCGTGTCTTCCGGGGGCTGTGCGCTAGGGACGGGTTGTGTGTGAAGGAGAGTGGTATCAGTTTTTGGTCCCGACACTGCTCGTTGGTCATCACTCAACTCCAGA